TGCTGAACATATTATCACAATTGGATATGTTGACCGAGATTTTCAGATTGAAGTTGGCCGAAATAATAAACCATTACCTAAAATCAATAAATCATGGATAAAATCCCGTAGAGTTTTGAGGATGAAAGTTCTTTACAACATTGCAAAGAACTTATATGATAAAAAATTCAGATGCTTGTGTCAATATGAAGGATGGACACTCCTTACGAATAATGGAAAAGAAAAATCTACTATTTTGAAAGAATATATCCAGAAATTTGATACTCATCAAATTAATGGAAGTCCTACAACAATCCAAGAATCATGCAGACTGAGGGAGTGCCGCACATGCAGACAAAATTAAAAAGATTGATTCTTCAAGATAAAAGATGAATGGAGATAAATAAAAAGGGACCTAACACTACCAAACAATCTAGCTAGCTACATATGGAGCCAAAGATAAAGAGGCAATAATAGAAGAAAATATGTCCCTTTGATGAAAAAGTAAAAAACGCATGTGAAAATGTAGACCCCAGGAGGAAAAAGAATAGAGAGGTATGTGAGCCTTTTCCAAATTCTGATGTATGCAATGATGTAATAGACCAATAATAGTAAGTTTGAGTCATGTATAAATAGAGGTCTTTGGGAAAAGAATGGATTATCTCGAGTTAGAAACCATTCTCTTTCCTTAAACTTTGTTTAAAACCAGTTTTTCTGGAAATCCCTTGTATACAATAGAAACCTTGTATAAATCATTATATAAATAAAATTTCAATCTTTTGATATCAGAAAAATATGAGTTTCTAAACTTCCTATCCCGTAGATTTTTGACAGATTGAAGAAGATAATTTCTTTCTTACTTTAACAAAGAGAGAATTTTCTCTACTTAAGATCCTTATTCTTAATTCTAAGAAAAGATACAGTGAGGGCAAGAAGCTGAAATAGCAAAATTCCCATTAAGGCAAAAGGCCGTTTGAGGGAGCAGTTTGCAGATTCAGAGCCTGAAAGTCACTCGGTTCTAAGAATACAGATTTAAGATCAAAAGTAAGTTAAAATTATTGTCTTTGTTAAAATTAGAAAGAATTCTTCTAATATCTTGAAAGAATCATAGGGATTATTACTTATTATGTTTGCAAAAACTTATCTATCATATTATTATTATTCATCATAAAGTTTGTAAGAAATTATCTATATGATGACAGGCTATACAATTAATGGATTAGATAATCTGTTAGAAAGACTATTAGAAAAAATAAAAAATATTTTTTCTCAACTAGAGACTATGGATATATCGTCTAAGGAATATGATAATTTCAAAGAATTATATGACAATTATATTACAGATTATGCTAATTTATTAGATCAAAGGTGAAACTATATATTAAAATTTGAAATGAGAGAAATAGAAGAATTTTGGAACTATTCCAATAAATCAGGATATTTTGTGCAAAATATGGCAAGCCATTTGATTAAGGGTAATATAGATATTTTAGCAAGAATGAATAGTGACAAGCCATTTAGAAAAATCCCCCGCGGGATGAGAAGGCGGGGGGCGAGGGGGGAGCGGGGTAGAGAAAGAAAGTCGATTATCGAATTTTTTTTTAAGGAACTCTTTTTTTTTTCTAAGTAACTTTTAAAAAAAAGTTTTTATTTTATTTTTAATTAAAATTTTCTAAATAAATTTTATTTTATTTTATTAAAATAAGTTTTTATTTTATTTTTGTTTTTTAAATTTATTTTATATCTCTACTATATAAAAAGGGCAATGTGTTGCTACTGTAGAAAGAACAGTAGATTCTTCCATTTCTTCACACTGTAGCAACTTTTTTTCCCTGGAGTAAAAACGACGCCGTCTGCCAATTTTTTTTATTTTTAATTTTTTACATGTCTGGAGCCAAGACGAGGCCGTCCGGACAAGAATATATGTGTGTGTGTGTGTGTGTGTGTGTGTAAACTACCCACTTTAGATAGATTTTTCTTTCTTCTTCTCCATTTTCACACGCTACTCATTTTTCTCTTTGAGTTTAATTGTTTCCTTTCTTTTTTTTCATGTATTTATGATATTTCTGTTTCAATTATATTTGGGATATCTGTATTTTGTGCTTCAATCATTGTGCTTATATTATATTTGTTCTCTTTGTTTGTTCGATCGTTGACGCATGTTCTTTTTGCCTTATTTTAGTTTGTAGGTAGTGGTGAAGAATATTTTCAACTTCTCTTTAGTTTGTGGTGACAGTAATATCCAGAGGATTTTCCTGCGATGATTAATGAGGGGGAAATCTACTTTCATATGATTTGATTTTCATTTTTCTTGTATAGTGTTGAACTTCGATGTTGATGTTGATGTTGATTTGTTTTACACAAACTCTGGAGTAAACTGGTAAATAATAGAGTAAATAGAATTGGGCATAGAAATAACAGATTAGAAATACATGAAAATTATTAGAAGAAAGTAAAGAGGTCTCATAAACGTGTCAAACTTCCACCAACAAGGTCTTTTTTGTAGACGATGAACGTTGGGGGTTCACTGTTCAAAAGTTCGAAAACACATGTATCGCCCATTTGTAGTTCTTTTTCTCTAAAAAAATCTGCCCAGCCTATAGTCATACGTCTTATTAGACCATTTGGTCGCAAATTTGTGGCGAGCTCCCAGTCGTGATGTAAAGAATGATGGATTTGAACACTTCGCAGACCTTTTGGTAGGTGATATCTAGAGATTTGTTCTGGTATATCTTGGAAAACCATGAATGAATAAATTATTGATCTTTGAATCAAATTTATGTGGAAGAGATGAATGTAGAATGAGATATTAAAGATGAAACTTACAATTTCTCAATGGCTGTTGTGATGAGGTGTTATTGTTATTTCAAATGCAGGGTCATCTGTATGTGAAACGTTGTATTTTTCGGAAACATCGGAGTCATATGTGACCTCTAATCCAGAATGGTCAAATATGGTCATATTGAATGTGGATCTTCCATTATATTCAAATACCAAAACATGAGCATCCTGTAAATTATGATGGTTAAAAAATTGTTCCCATCCATCGGCAAAAAAGATTCTTCCATTATCTCTTTCCAATCGTATTTTGACAATTATACCATCATATGTAGTTACGCGTACTGTGTCACCAAGTTGATGTCTCCAATCGTTGACAAAGGATCTGGGAAGCATCTATACATATATATTAAAAAGTATAAGAGAGATATTAAGAATACATCCATTCAAATGTGAGAGGAGAAACTCTTGTGTGACTAACTAGATGGGTATTATGGTTTTGGGGAGGAGTAATGATTCTGAAGAAACGATGTGGCACCTCCATTCTGTCTCAATATAGTGCAATGAAAATTTTGTTAGAATAACTCTATTATTTACGTTGTGGAGGCCCTAATATAGATTTGAAGGTAGATTTTGCAGTATAGACGAGTTATAAAGTTTGTTAATGGAAGTTCCATGTCTATAAGATAAACTTTGTATGTGATCTAAAATATATATATATTCTATATGTTGTTGAACAATATTGTGAAGGTTGGTAAGAAATTCATGAATTGTGTTTGATTTTTAATAAAAGAATTGAAGATCGACATTTAGTCCATCTCAATAAACAAGATGTAAGTTAAAACTGTAAAATTTAGTGTTGAAATAATAGTTATGGTAATCAGGAAAGAGTAGATAAACACCTGCTTTTCTTTTTGTTGAGCACCTGCAAGCAAAGATATGTAAATATTTTATGTGAGGAGTGATTTACGGTAAATTTTGAAAACATGAGAAGCTATTTAAATTAGAGGATATGTACTTCCTATATTATTTCCTTTTCTCCAGATTTGACAAGAGGTTCACGGATTGTAGAAATGGACAATATGTTACCAAAAAAGCCCGATCTTACTCTTCCCAAAAATAAAAGTGAGGAGAAAGAAATAATTGAAGTATCACGTGAGTGACTATTTTATCTTAATACGTTTCACACATTATTTGATTGCAATCAAAAGGTTACGATTGGAAATGTAATTAATATGTAATATGTCTATTATTTATCTACATTTTTACTCATTGGATTTATATAATATTTGTATATATAAAAAAAATGAATTATATTTTATGCATTTATTTTAGGAATCATATCTATTAAAAAAACTAAGTTGATTAAATGAAATTAAATTTTGATGCTGAAAGTTGTGGAAAAAAAAAAAGAAAGGGGGAAAAAATGAAATTTGTTAGTTACGGAGGCAGTTTGGTGCCTAGACAGTTTGAGCCTCCGTAATTATGGAGGCACTTTGATGCCTCCGTAATTACGGAGGCTTTGCCTTTTGAGCCTCCGTGATTATGGAGACATTATTTTTTCCCCTCTCTTTTTATCTTAGCTGTTATTACAACAAATACTTCAATATTATTTTTTTGTTTTGTTGAACATAATTTTATTATTTTATATGGAGTTATATTTTTGTTTGAACATGAGTTTCTTATTTTGTATGGAATTTAACTAATAGCCGGACTTTCTTAACGTTATTTTTAAAATTTTGCAATTTCTATTTATGTGATGATAAAAAATTATAATATATAATATAGAAATCGAAAAATGAATAAGTATATTTAGTTTTTTTTTCTTCCAACTATAATACTTAAGTAAGTATAATCTATTCATTTCCCCGTTTATGTCATTTTCATTTTACATTTTGAACGAAAACGTCGTTGTTTTCGTTTCGTTCTTGCAAGCCCCTTGTCTTTGTCCTTATTTTAATCGTTGTCCTTATTTTCATCGTACCTTTCCCATCCCTCTCATCCTTTTGATTTCTCCCTGTCTTCAATTGCGTGTATATTTTGTTCAGTAATATTTAATTCAACGATATACTTGTTGTTGTCGGTGGTTTTTTTTCGATATATTTTCTATTGTTCGGGTCATGGAAATATATGCATTTTTTGGCTTCTTTTATATGAGGATATTGTTTTCAATGTGCATACTCTTAGTTATGTTTCCAATTTTATTGAGATGATTTTTGTGGTTTCTTTCTTTCAGCAATACAATGAGTAAGCAATATTGGACACCTATATCTGTACAGCTTCAAGTTCTTGAATCTATATTTAATCAAGGGAATAAAACTCCAAACAAGTCAAGGATCATGCAGATAGTCTCCGAACTATTGTTGTATGGGCAAATATTTGATATGAATGTTTATAATTGGTTTAAGAGTAGCCGTGCTCGTTTAAGAAGGCTGGACATATCCACACAAGCACACGATTCTGAACTTGTAATTCAATCAAGGGTACAAAAAGACAAATTGCGTAAGAAACATATAGGTACGATTTGTTGTTTAAATGTGATTTCTTGTTGGTTTAATATTTTTTACGGAATTTTAACATAAATATTTGGTATTATAGAAGTATCTACAAGTTCTACACTTATGTCAGGAAGAAGGATTAGATGTTGTCCTAAATTCACAGCAAGTTTCGTACATTGAATATATTTTTTTATAATTTTTTTTTTGCATCCGGCTATTTATTTGGTCATGTTGTAGTACACTTTTCTTTCATCTTGTTTTTGTGAAATTATTTTTTAATCCAATTTTTGCACTTTTATTGTCTTTCAGCGATCTTATACTAATTTTATGATTGTAGATTCTATTGATCATGTCGAATTACAAAAGGATCTTCAAGTTGATGAAAACATTGGCGTGGAAAAGTAATTTGAAGATGACAATATGCAATCTCAATGTGGTTCACATGATCCTATCATTTTAGATCATTCTAAGAGAATTGATATACGAAATATTCCAATTGAACTTTATATTCTTCCGTCTTGTACAATTTGTAAACATTGTGGTGCAAAAAAAATTTACAAAGAAAGTAAGGGTTTTTGTTGTTGTGATGGAAAGGTTAAATTACAGCTGAACAGTGTTCCCCCTGAATTGTATGAGCTATTTACTTCTAATTCATGTGAAGCGATTGCTTTTAAAAAAGTTGCTCGTACTTACAACAACCATTTTGCATTCACTTCATTTGGTGTTAAATATGATAAAAATTTGTGCAAAAATAATAGAGGTATATATACGTTCAAAGTTCAGGGATAGGTATACTATTTTATAAATCCGCTTCTACCAACTGATGGAAATCCTACATATTTGCAGTTATACTTTTACGATACTTATAATGAAATTAGTAATAGACTACAAATTTCAGATAAGTTAAGTAAATCAACTTTGAAAAAGTTAATAGATATCTTAAAGATAAATCCATATTGTCGTTTCTTTCGATCATTAAGTGAAGTTTCTAATTTTGATTCATGCTGTATCGTACTGAGATCTGATCCGGGTCTCGACCAGAGAGTATATAACATGCCATCATGTGAACAGGTTGCTGCAGTGTGGGTTGATGATGATCCATCTGCAAGCATAAAGACTCGTGATATATTAATTTATGGACATTCCAATACTGCACATAGAGTAAATTACTATTATGGCTGTTATGATCCACTTCAATATCCATTAATATTTACCTATGGAGAACTTGGATGACATGAAGGTATCGAAAAGGTAAATTTGAATGCATCAATAGTCCATTAAGATTTCATACAAATCAATCAAATTGATTCGGCCGAACAACTTATAGAGATGGAAGATCGTGGTAAGTTTTATTACCATTGAAATTTTTTAATATTTTTAGAGTGCATAAATGCATTGTCATTTCTAGATCTGTCTTTGTGACTTTAATTTTTTTCCCTTTCAGCTATGAAGAGAGGTAAAAAACGAATTACTGTGTGATGCCATGAATATTATTGCTACAAATTTCAAATCAGATTTTCAGATAAGTCTGTACTTCTTCATACAGGCAAATTTCTACAACAATATATAGTGGATATATATGTTAAGATTGAAACTGCGAGATTAGATTATTTTCGTAATAATCAAAAGACTATACGAGGTGAACTTTACCAAGGACTTTTAGATAGTATACAAAATGGTGAGAATAGATGCTATAAAATTGGCAAATCAATTGTGTTGCCTACAGGGTTTATTGGGGGTCCTAGAAATTTAACTAAAAGATATATGGATGCAATGTGTTTAGTTCAAAGATATGGAAAATCTAATATATTTTTAATATTTACATGCAATCCAAATTGGCCTGAAATTAAATAAGAATTAAGGCAAAATGATAGTGTACAAAATAGGCCAGATTTGTTAGCCCGAATATTTCGAGCAAAACTTGAAGAACTAAAAATAGATTTAATAAAGAGAGAAATTCTATGGCCTATAGCTGCCTATGTGTATGTAATTGAATTCCAAAAAAGAGGTCTACCTCATGTTCATTTTCTCCTGATATTTAAAACGAATTTTAAGATTACTAATTCTACGCAAGTTGATGAAATTGTTTCTTGTGAAATACAAGATCCAAAGAGAAATCCTCACCTGCATGCTACTGTGGTCAAACATATGATGCATGGTCCTTGTGGACAATTAAATCTTACAAATGTGTGCATGGAAAATAACCGTACTTGTAAAAATAAGTATCCAAGAGAATACATTTTGTATACTTTATTAGATAATGATTCATATCCACTTTATAGGCGTCGTGACGATGGTGTTACTGTTAAGGTCAGAGGGTCTGCACTAGACAATAGATGTGTTGTACCATATAATTCTTATATTTTAACTAAATATGATTGTCACACTAATGTTGAAATATGTTCTTCTGTTAAAGCAGTCAAATATTTATACAAATATGTATACAAAGGACATGATCGTGTTAATTTTACGGTGAATAAAGAAACTAATGAGCATTATGTTGATGAGATTTCGAATTATCAAACCGCTAGATAGATATCTGCACCGGAAGCTATATGGAGAATTTTTAGTTTTGATTTATTCGACATATCTCCTTTTGTAATTTCTTTGCAGTTACATATTGAAGATGCTCAGTTGGTTACATATAATGAAACAGATGATCTATCAGAAGTTATAAATAAAGACTCCATTCAACGAACAATGTTAACTGAATTTTTTAAAATGAATATTTCAAATGAAAAGGCACGAACTTTACTTTATAAGGATTTTCCTACATACTTTGTATGGAATACATATTTTCGAGTTTAAAGTCCTAGAAAGAAGCAAAATATTATTGGTAGAATAGTTGCTACTAATCCATCTGAGGGTGAGAGATACTTTCTAAGAGTTTTATTGAATCATGTTAAAGGGCCTAAGTCTTTTCAAGATTTAAGAACAGTTAATAACATTGTTGTGCCTACTTATCGTGAAACTGCATTTTTACATGGTCTCATAGGTGGGAATAATTATTGTGAAATGTGTTTAAATGAGGTGATCACCTATGAAATGCCTATATCATTGCGTCGCCTCTTTGCTAATGTGTTGATTTTTTGCAACCTTGCAAATCCTAGAAACTTATGAGTTAAATTTAAAGTATACATGATAGAAGATTTTTTACATGCAAGCATGACAGTATGTGATGCCGAGATTAGGGGCTTTGAGATGCATAAATTCATTCTTGGAAGTTTTTGGTACAAACATAAATGATTTTAGTCTGGTAGATTTTGACGTCATTGTGAATGATGCTAATGTGTTAGCAAACATGATTTTAGAAGAGACTATAAATATTAATGTTCAGTGTGACGTGCATTTTACAGAGAATTTAAATAAGGAACAACAATCTGCCTATGATGTTATTTTAGACTGTGTTGTAAATAATAAAAATGGAGTTTTTTTATTGATGGTCCAGGAGGTACTCGAAAAACTTTTATGTACAAGGCATTACTTGCTGCAGTACGATCTCGACAACTTATTGCATTAGCGACAGCGTCATCGGGAGTGGCTGCTTCTTTATTGCCGGCTGGGAGAACTGGTCATTCACGTTTTAAAATCCCACTTCAAGCAAGTTATGATATGCGATGTTCAGTAAGTAAACAATCATCACTAGGTCAACTTTTACAAATAACAAAGCTAATTGTGTGGGATGAAGCACCGATGATTAATAGATGTGCTTTTGAAACTTTGGATAAAATGTTAAAAGATATTACTGAATGTGAATTGCCATTTGGTGGAAAGGTTGTTTTGTTCGGAGGAGATTTTCGACAAGTGTTGCTAGTAGTACAAAGAGGAACAAAAGATGGCCAGTTTAGTTTTTTCAGATTTATGGCAATATTTTATACAACTACCATTGACTGAGAATATGAGAGCTAAATTAGATCCTTTGTTCTGTGAATATTTACTTAGAATTGGAAATGGAATAGAAAGAGAACGCACATGTCACATGATTAAGCTTCCTTCAGATATAATAATAGATTTTGACAGTGAATTTGAATCATTGAAAAAACTAATTGTTATTGTGTTTCCTAATTTTCACACATATGGTGACAATTTGAATACTATGATGAACAGAGTTATTTTGACTCCAAAAAATGAACATGTGGATGTAATAAATAATATGCTAGTAAAAGAAATTTCAGGAGAGATATTTACATATTTTAGTTTTGATGAAGTAATTGATAAAACAGAAGGATTTATTCACAAGGACTTTTTGAATAGTCTAACTTCAAATGGTATCCCTCCACATAAACTTGTACTAAAAAGAAACTGTCCTATTATGTTGCTTAGAAACATTAATCTTTCAGAAGGTTTGTGTAATGGGACTAGACTTATTTGTCGAGAATTTAAACGAAATATTATTTTAGCCGAAATTGGAATAGGTGAATATCGTGGAAAACAAGTATTTTTACCTAGAATTCTATTTATTCCACTTGAAGGAGATAAGTATTCGGTACCATTTAAGAGAAATCAATTTCTCATTCGTCCTTGTTTTGTAATGACCATTAACAAAGCTCAAGGTCAAACTTTAGATTTTGTTGGACTATATTTGCCTGAACCTGTTTTCTCGCATGGTCAATTATATGTCCCTTTATCTAGAGCAAGAACAAGAAAAAACATAAAAGTTCTAATAAAATCACACAATTGTTGCACAAAAAATGTAGTCTATCTTGAAATTTTGAATTTGATACATACTACTTAAGAAGTCTATAATTACAAGTTTTGCTTAACTGGACTGTCAATCTATTGTTAGCCTAAAAGATGATTTTTTCTCTGCTAATCCATCTAATGTCAAGGAGAATAACATTGAGCTATACAAGGTTAGTTATTTTTACATGTTATCATGCGTTTCAATTATACTTTACTTATTAGTACAAAACATGGTGCATATAAAAGGGTCAGGTCATTATTTTTAAACATGTCCTTCATAATATTTCATGTTCAACATATCTTTATTTATTTGGGTCACTGATAAGATACGAGAAGAAAGGATAAAAAACACAAGTTTATTACATAATATTTCAATCAGTATATTCTGATTATCTACTAGAATTAGGATTTGCGGGGATGAAGAAAGTATTCGTTATTACAGATATCTACCGCAATCTTTCATCTATATATGCTCATCCTATCCGACGAAACTGATTCAATTGGATATCCCAAAACAAAGCATTCTATATATTTGAGCACGAAAAGTCCACCATTAGGCCGGTGGAAGAAATAGTTTAGTGTTAGAACAAATGACTAAGTTTAGGAAATTAAATATTCTGCTAAAAAACAAGCCACTTAAATGCTTACCCATTGTTTGCACAGTTTAGGTAAGGTATGATCTCCTCTTTCATTTGTTTATTCATATGTTTCCTTATATCTCCTCTAGAAGATAAAGTTGTTTTCAATAGTACTTCTACCACGGTCAATGAAGCTTTTGCATGTGCTTTTACTTGATTCGATGTGTGGACATTATTGCTGCAATCATATATTTGGAATTTCCATTCAGGAATATTGACAATAAAAAGGTACCAGCTATTGCCCGGATATAAGCACGGAATTAATATATACTTGCATGTCCTCCAAGGATGACCAAATATAGGTGTTTGCCATTCATATAACTTTCCATAAGAGTTCCATCTGCTTCACCTCTTGTGGTTCCCATTCCTATGTCAGTATGCCATATTATTTAACGAGCACATTCTACTTCAGATTTGAAATCCATAATTGCATATTCTTTTGAAACAAGCTGACAACCATCATTCATGAGCCACCTCAATAGTTTTAACTCTAACTCAATATTCTGATTAAATAAATAGATATCAATTAAATTATATATATCGACTATGAAATAAAATATATTGTAATTCATAGACTTTACTTACAACAATATTTATGTCCTTTGTTTGATTCATTAGAGTTTTCAACATATCTCTTCCACAGACATTGTTGCTGCCATTGTCCAAATATGCACTGTATGATATAATTTTAATTAATTCCAAATAAATCAAAAGAGAACTTGAAGATTTGAGCTAATACAAGTAAAATTAGATTTATTACCCAGATTGATTCTTCGCTATAAAATTTCTAATTTTTATGTATCTTTGCATAGGATAGTCTTCTAGAGGACGATCTAAAAATGATGAAGACCGTATTTGTTTCCCCTTGTTTTTCTTCTCTTTTATCGACCGTTTAGAGCTCTCAATTTGTTCAGCTGTTGATATCTCATTTGGTTTATCGCAAGGAACAACACTTGTATCGAGAGGCACATCTTGTTGCATGGAACCTATGATGGCTTCCATGTTTGATTTCCATTCAGATAACGTGTTCAGTGTTTCCTGATTTTGTTCGTCGACATAGGATCTCATTGAACTTAAACTGGTATCAATATAAGATTGCATACCCTGATATCTCTCTTCCTGCCACTTTTGTTGCTGTTCAAAAAATTGCCTTTGGTTGTCAAGAATTATCTAATAATGATGTTGCGTGTAATCTTCTTGCCATTTTTTTGCTCCTCAAATAACTGTTTTTGGTTTTCAAGAACCGCATGGTGGTGAACTCTTGATTCATCAGCAAATTCTGCCTTCGTTGCTATATACATCAGACACGTCTGATATTATGTGTTGCTTGTAGATACCTAACAATTCTTCCATTTTATCTTCACTTAAGAAGTTGGAGCTACTGGGAACAGAGCTAGACCCAAATACAGGTGAAGATGTAGAAGTACCGGGAATCGTCGTTTCTTGCACATGTATATTGTCTAGGATTTGTTCTACTGCATTATCCAATACTCCATTTACAATCCCATCTATTCTGCTGTGTCCATTATCCACTGGCAATGAAAGAGTTCCGTACCAAAGACTTTGTAATTCTTCTTCATTAGGTTGTAGCACAGCAATCACTTGAATCTGTAATCAAATTGAAATATCAAAATCGTTTATTTTGAGTTTAATTTTATTTTAAGATAATTGAATGTGAGAGTAATTGTACATTCGTAAAAATGTACCTGATGAGTAGACAAAAAAAGCTTTATCTCTTTTTCAGTTACAAATTGGTTGGATTTCCACTTGTATATTCTTGGAAACTGTGGTTTTTTATGTCTACGATGTCCAAATTTCTTTCCAATCTTTGGAAATACTTCATATATCCAATACTGCAAAATAATAAAAAATAAACATTATATGTATAAAAAAATTTTATGGGAATATATTGTACATAATAAATCAATACAAAAATAGGGACTAATTACCTGGAATGCAAGTGGATACCCATGTAACGCGTACTTGCATTCTGTTTGTTCATTCCGTTGCAACCTTTGTATTCTTTCAGATTGTGATACTTTCAATGAATATAACAAGATCAAATATGATTTGCGACCCCATGGATATGCAATGAACTCATCCAGTTGTTCAACCATACCAAGAGTTCTATAATCAATTTGTCTTGAAGTGGGTGTCAACACACATTCGATCAACATGACTAAACTAAGCTTCAATTTATCTTCTTCATGTTCACATGCATGTAATGCTTCATGAAGCATCTTCATACTGATTCGATATGTACCATTAAAGTATTGATTTCTAAGACGATCATTTGTATCATTAATGTCCATGGATGGTTCATGGCAAGGTAATCCAGAAATAAGACAAAATTCTTGCATACCAAATTTGGCTACATGATCATCTAACCTTACCCAAATTTCATCATTTTTCCCACAATTCACAAGCCTCAATATAAATTCATGCACCAACCTACTACTAAATTGTACATTTTTTCCTTTGTAGAAAGCTCCATAAAGAAATCCATAAAAATTACTACACATCAACGAAAATTGCTCATTCGAATCTAAAAATTTTACAAAGTCTTTAAGATATTCGAAATTTGGATACTGGACAATTGTAGCAGAAAACCATTGATCCGGAGAAATTATGTATTCTAGAGACATCTACATAAATTATTCCAAAAATCACATCTTATTTATGAATGAATCTAAAAATTAAAAATAGAGAAACATTTATGAATGAATCTAAAACCTCCGTGATTATGGAGGCCAAGATTTTCAGTATGGATATAGGTGCTAAAAATGCTGAAAAACAATATGAAAGTGACAAAAATTCAAACATTTATGATATTATGTACATGGTGTCTAAGAAATTAATGTGAACATCTTTTGTTAACAATGAAAATTTCTACTCTTAGGGTTCAAACAATTGACTCAAGTGACTCAAGTAAACATGATAGAACCATCAAATCTTCTATATGAATCCTCACTACATTTAGTATACTTTGGATTTTTCTGTCACTTTCATATTATTTCTCAGCATTTTTAGCACCTATATCCATACTGAAAATATGTTGCCTACACAAGAAACAAAGCCTCCGTATGATGAAGGCCTCAACAAGGCCTCCGTGATTACGGAGATAGGCCTCCATCATACGGAGGCCTTGTTATGGCCTCCGTAATAATGGAGATCCATTAAAGCATGGGTCTCTATAATCACGGAGTTCTTATGGGCACCATATGTAATAATGTGTTTAATTGTGTTAAGTTATAAGTTTCGATTCATGTTAATGTTTGTATGTCAAATGGTACTCCGGTACGGCATATCCCTCTATGTTAATGGTTGTATGTCAAATGGTACTCTGGTACGGCATACCCCTCTATGTTGAAAAAATGTTCGTATGTCAAATGGTGCCCTCGGGTACGGCATAACCCTTCATGTCAAATGGTGCCTCCGGGTACGGCATGTATAAAAAGTTATAAAGTTAATGTTTTGAAATGTATAGCTTGATCACGAATGCACCTATGACACCTATTGAGTTTTTCAACTCACGGGTTTAATCACATCTCTACAGATTGAAGGAATTCTACC